AACAACATCTGTGCATACTTATCGAAATTATCAATATAAAGCAGATTAGTTTGATATATTTATGGCGATGTTTGTGAATTCGCACGTGTCGTGTAAAACACTTCAACATAGCACAATTCACAAAAAAACAAGGCGTAACTCAAAAACGATAGAGTGTGCCAACCCGGCTTTTCAGGAGATATGTTTTTCGAAATCGGTTTATTAGTTGTAATACTTGATGTGCTAAATAACTGTGATGGAATAAAGGTACAATGATAACCTTGTCATAACGTATTATTCACCATGATGGTGCGTATCTCACGGTGTTGAAATTGATTGATATGTTGACGCAGAACTTGAAGACTTGCTTAAATATGCTTTTAAATGCAGGTCAAGGCCAGTGAAAATTCCACAGTATTTCAAATTAGGCTAAACGTCATCTAACCTACCAGATTATCGCCTGCGTTAGTTAGAACCAGTGCATAGATGAAGCGTTGTGTGCTTTGTGTTGGTACGGTACGGTACGGTACGGTACTGTGCATTACTATGTACAATACTGTTTATACCTTACCCATTTACATTTATAATGTGTTTCTGCAACTATATATAAAGGTCAACGCTTGTGTTTGTGTAATATACAGTGTAACTACATTCCCTATCCTATAAAAAATGTCACACATGTACGTTATTCATTTAACCTTGCTGTCTATTGAAATCGCAGGACAAAGTCAAACTATGAGTTTACCTATTTTAGCTAATTAACATGAAATTATATTCTCCTGCCGTTGGCACCATAGGATTATGTTAATTCATGACTTCATGATTCACTACACTGACAGTGTTTTTCGATATATATAATTTTTTTGAAAATACAAAAAGGAATAGCCAGGGACATCAGCCTTGATTAATGTGATACAGCATATGATCATGTATGTTTAGTATCGAGGTACAAAGGAATAACTAAGAACCCATCCACCCCGCAAAAATGGTGGTCTAGGATACAGTGTGGGTTTATGAATGTTAATCATACAAACAAAAAATGTCTTGAGCCTTTAAACTTTACTCACATGCTTTCCATGTGACCCACAACAACTTAGTCATAATTTCGAGACATATTCACAGAATTCACAGAATGTGTTTATTTACTTTGGACAACAACGGGAAATACTAAGAACTTGAAACACAAGTGTTCAGTTCAACCCATATGACGTATTTACGATTTTTGTATAATAGCAAGGTCATAACCTAATTTACCATTACTTCTAAGCCAGTAATGATATGTATATGATAATCATATACGCCAATACACCAAAATCAAGGTTACGTTATTTGTGTACCAAGGTCTGAACGGCAGCTCTGAGTGTTAATCTGAATATTAATGCAGATTGGCATCTTTTTTGAGTGCTTTTCAGTTATGCCGCGGAAAGAAAAGAAAATCAATACATACGAATATTTATTGTGTATAACTTGAATATTCATTTCTAACACAACATAGTGTTATATACCTTTGCACATGAACAGTCTGTTGATTAATGGTAGCGGTATTTGTTATCATCACCAACAAATCCTGAGTACAGGAACTCTTCTATTTATTTAGACCAACCCTAACAATTCCGAGTAATTTTTAGAGTAGAGTCATATTATTAGGTATTTATGCGACTTAATTGCCACCACCCCAAACGAAATATAAATATTCTAAGGAAATTATTATATTTGTGAAGGTATTCAGGGCATTCTATGTGAAATTTGTGATATAAAGGTGAATATTTTAAAATGGGATAAGCTATACAAGTTTTAACAATGCATGAAAAGTACACGTTTTTGGGAATCAGTCCTACCGAATGTTATTCACGTTCACTATTAATTTTGGGTTTGTCCGTCTTTCCGGAAACATATTTCAGTCATAAAATTTGCTAATGTTGATCCTCAAACGTGTCAGTAGGTGTTTCCTGGACGTAACCATGACGATTTTGATCAAAGTTAGTTTGATCATACATATCGGGTTACAGGTGCACGCCATATTTGTTCGTGATAGAAACAAATTTCGCCGACTGGCGGCCATTTTGTTTTTACATATTCCACTTGCATGCTGTACTGTAATCAGGATTACAAATAATTGGTAGTCGAATTGCTTTTATTCTCATTTGTCTTTTGAACATGCTTCAGCTGTAAAAACGGTACAGATACACTTGCAGCGGCAATTGCCTTGATGCACTGTTTCTATTTGCTAAAGACATTTGATAAAGTTTATCCCTGGAAGATGGGTTCTTCAATAGCATACATTTGTCATTAATTTTGACCTCTGACAAACTGGTGGTCATTTTAGTCCCGAAAAAAAAATATCAATCATTTCCCGAGCATTGTGGATTTCATTCAAACTTACAGATATTACAGATAGTGGTTTTGATACACGTCTGTGTTGTAACTTATTTCACAATGCTGACTAATGACCATGTTTTATTTTCATACTTATTTTGTTCAAGACAATTCTGTACTGGGTGGGTAACACATGCTGAACACCCCTACAACATACTACATTTTTGTATTCATATTTTATACATCTGTCATTATTTTTAAATGACACAGTAACTAAACATTTGACGGAACTATATCATTGTCAATGGCTTGTTTTCCGTATTTTACCTCGGCTCTTGCCCAATCAGAAAGAAGGATTGAGTGATTTAAAATATAATGACACCATGTATTTGTATCACATATTTATATGCATCCGAATCGCACGTTTCGCTATAGCTGGCCATTCATAACCGTGTGTGATCATGTTAGGAAAAGCTGTATTTCACTGCAGTTAAATTGAGTCATTTGATTGGACGCGCCAAGAAGCTGGCGCCACCAATCAGCGTTGCTGTATCATAAGTTTGAACGTCTGGGTTTCTCACTGATTAAAACAATGGTGGCGTGCAGTCTTTGCGCTAAATCACTGCGAGTCAAGAACAGAAAGGGTGTTGACACGTTTCCAAAATGTTTTATTACAACGTTGAAAATTGTTTGTGGGCAATTGAATGAAACTGATAAGATATCGACTTGCCCGATCCGGTCTTTTACTAGTTCTAGTTCTAGTAACCGTGAACAAACACATCATTTCCCTCGGATACAGCACCAAGCGCTTTCTTTTAATGGTCAGTAAGGTCGTTCATCGTTCGTTGATTTCTGTTTTCAAATATCTTAAATTTACCAAGTTTGTGTGGTTTCTATCATGAGTTCTGATTGGGTAATGCAAATTAGCCTGAGTGAGTCTTATAATCGCTTCAGGGCGTGCGACATACAGTAAATTGTGGTGAAATATGCCAAGGGTTAATGTTGATGCTTCGGCCGAATAAATGGTCATTGGCTGGCGAAGATGATTTATATGGGATAGGATTTAACTGTTCATTTATACGGAAATGTGTTTATTTTAATCCAACTGTACCTGAAGTTTTTTTTGTTTGTGTGCATGAGCATCAGATGTAATTCTCGTTTCTGAACTATCGGATAGTCGCCCGCAACTGGTTTATATCAAAATCATAAATGTGTCAGTAATTCAGAAAGAACTATCAAACAATACAGACACATGAACCAATTGATGGGTAGTAGCAGAGAACTTGTGAAAGAAGATATTGTTGAATTATGTGGAAGAAATTCCATATATGTAACCGTCCACATATGTGGACATTGAGACTTCTGGACCCCAAAAAAACATTTTTGGCAGATGCCTGTAATATCAATACGCTGATCAGAAATTGTAGCAAATAGTAAGCAGTAATTTACATGCAGTTAGGATAACACCAATTGTCGCACTCAAATGGCGCGATGATATTAATATTGACCAAAAGATTATTGCGAACAAAATATTCGTACTCAAACAAAAGAATACCATTTCTGTCGTTTACTAATAATTATATGCAACCGAATTGCAAACTTGCAGCCAACGTTAGATGGCAAGTTACCACCAGGGTTTCCTCAATATTTCTCTTCCACCCAACACTCTTATCACACAAAATCAAAAGCGTTAGATAATCTTATTATTCCGAAATACCATACTAATTCGGGACAAAATTCAATCAAATATGCTGGGGCTAAACTCTGGAATAAACATCCAGAAGAAATTCGTTCCATAAGCTCAAGAAATTCATTCAAAACAGAAATGAAAAGATTATACATTATACATAATTGAGTTGTATGTAAAAAAAAAAATTAGCATCAACTTATTATTGTAGTTTGTATTTCACCTAGAAAAGAGGGTGGACTTGACTAGTGTTTGACACTCTCCTACCAGTGCCATTGTGGGAATGTCATTTTTTATAGAAACATGTTATACAAGAAAGGGTGCATCAAGCCGATATTTATCATTATGTATTATGTATGTCACCTATGCATACAAATAATGAAAACTAAGAAAAGAAACATATTTTTTTAATAACAAAAATAGAATACTAAAACGTGACCTGGAAAATACAAAAATAATAAAAAGACAGGGGCACAAGAAAAATAATTAAATAATGAATAAGGTAAATTGAAAAAAAAAAGAAATATGAGAAAATAAAGTGGAATGGAAAATATATATATTAGATCTTTCTCCGCAAAACAGACTATTCCTATTGTGGTTTAGATCTTTGAAAGTTGAGAACAGTTTCCTTATTTCTGTATCAGTATTTTACTAACATTTTCAGAATTCGAGGATTAATTACAGAATAGATAAAACAATTTATTAATTTACAATCACATCATGAGGATAAAAGCGTAACCTCCATTGTCATGTGACACAGGTCTGTGCTGAGACAGCGATTCCTGTGACGAAACAACGATATGCAGTCAGTATCAGTAACTGTAAAAATTGTCCCGTCTTCAAAGAACTGATGACATAGACTCGGGATTCAATGAAGCAGGAATATCATGCCATAATACAGTCTAGTAATGTACGTAAAAATATATAATACTTACCATATACTCAACTAAGAATTTAAGAAAGCGTATGAATAGATTATATGCAGTGTACATACTTATATCAGAAATATATTACATACCTCGTCGCAATGTGTAACACAGATGAATGACAGTGGTAAGAATGGTTCTAGCTTGAAGAATGTTCTCATATTTATGACAATTTATCACACACCACCTGTGCAAGCTACATGAGTTATCAATATTAAAAAAATATGCCATCAACCTCATTTGTTTAAGTGAAATATTGGTCACGCGTAGAGTAATGAAGTAACCCGATATAAGCAAAAACACCATCAAATGCTGTAAAATATTTTAATTGCGCGATGCCATTCAAACCAATAATTCCCAACTAGTTGATTATGTATGAAAGTAACACATGTACGACAATTATTTGTAAATAAATCATTACAAAAGAACAATTTATAACAATGAGAGATGAACTAATGCGTAGTTGGTACTTTGCATTGCATGCCATGCAGTATGTTTAACGTGGTAAAGTTTCAAATGCATTAATCAATATTGTACATAACAGCTGCATGGAATGATGGATAACTTAGGCATTCAGATCATATCTACGTTTAGCAAAACCATTATAAGCTTTCACGCTATGATTAAACAGTGGGAATATTTACATATCAAATATCCTGATCAGTTGCTGTGAAGTACCTGAGTGAATAATACAGTCTAATACCTAATTCACGTACGCGTTTCATAAGCCAATGCAAGTCAATGACTTGTAGATGTATGTTAGTCTGGTAAACAGGCTCTTCTCTACATATTCGACTACCCCCTTCCCCCGGCGTGTGTCGTGTAATGTGGCAATATGTACCAGACATTTGGTACCTAAAAGTTGCATATGCAAAAGTAATATTTATTTAAAAATACATTTAGTGTTAATACAGAACTTAACACCTTGATTTACACAGGACAAAATACCATTCGTAGAAATATTCAGCATCAGTGCAAATAACTTTAAAAACAATGTTATGATAGAGTTCCATGAACCTAGACGTCTGTACCACTTTAATCAATAATTCACCGGCATATAACCAACTTAACAGCTGCATGCACAGATACGATATCAAAAAAGAAGTTTATCGTTTTTGAGTTCACGTGATAATATGTGTTATCAGTAAGATAATTAGCACAGTATGGACTATTCACATAAAATAAAATTACCACTGACGCACTTTAAAAACATGAACATGGAATGCAGCTGTTTAGAAACGAGAATTTACAAAATGATAGATTATTCCATAAGACTCGTGCACTGAAAACTTTGCTGGCAGAGAACTTCCCAGGTTTGGCTGATGCGCTTGAGGCAGTAAAACCCTTCTTTCTGGCTCTTTATGGTCAGCTGCCAGGAAATACTATGGAACTGCCCACTTTACATTGTTTACCAAAAATAAGAAATATCCTAAAGTGATGGCCCTTCCTCTAACAACACCCAACCTGTTGCAGCATGTTTTAAGGGCTCATTTACAAGTGATGCTGTGGAAAGCAGCAGACGATCACGTTCCACCTGATGAGTCAGCTGATATCAAAAAATTTGGATAGGAGATCAAGGATAGTACCCCAGTTCCTGTCAGTACTAAGGGTGACCCAGTACCGCCAGAACTAACTGATGTGATTCGGTGTCAATGCAAACACTACGTGAAATTGCGAAAATACAGATTGTATTGATCAGTAGATTAGCCTGTATTATCAGAAAATCAATGAGAATACAGGGAAATGTAACATTTTATTCATGTAAAAACAGTGTGAATACAGGCTGTCTTCACGTGTATTTGCACTCATTTAATACAGGGATAATACACTTCCTTTATTGACCTGCATTCACAGTAAATGCATTCCTGTATTTACCTGCATCAGTGTTGTATTTTCTGTGAATAAATGTTGATACAGGAAGTCTATTATTCATGTATTAAGGTAGCGAGAAGGGAAATTTTCACTTTTTTCTTGATTTTTCAAAAATTGATAAAACAGTTACTTTAGACCTTGATACATCACCCCAGGTTTACAAAAGATCGAAATTGCGAAATAACGTTGCTCAAATTAGTGTTTTAAAACACTAGCAGAAAAGACTACAACTGCCGTTTCGTGGATATTTGCATAGTGTTTATCTTTGGAAGGAATTAAATGATAACATCT